TATTATTTCCCCCCAAATTGGTTATTATTTGAGCTCTATGTCTTGAATTTCAATATTCATATACCTAAAGACATTTGTGAGTTTTGTTTGTATTAAAAAACTTCCTTCAAATCCAACCTAAACAGGTTATACAAATTGAGGCAGATGAGCCAGAAATGTGTTAATTTTCTTACGTCAAAAACATTAATAATCTCCAACTGTAGAAATATTAGTTCTTATTGGAGCTCAGGAACGTTACAAATAAAAGCCTGCCTCAGACAATTTCAAAAGCCCTCAAATTTCTTGCCTGAATTCTAGATCTATAGGTCCCGTTAGACTAGTGGACTTCTCCAACAGACACCTCAAAGTCCACATGATCAAAAATTAAATAATCTACACCTGGGGAGGACAGTGACATTTATTTATTATTAATTTATTTAAAAATGAAAATGAAAATTTCTCAAATTAACAGAAAAAAGAAAAATAGCAAAGAAAGCACAAACAATGCTGAAAAAGCCCCAAATTCATAACACAAAACATGGCAAATAATGGCCTGATTCAACATAATTTATTCCAAGTTGAAAAGAGAGTCAAGGAAATTATAGACAATATCCCTTCTCAAGAGAATATGTTATGTGGCAGAAAGCAAGTGCAAAAAAATCCGGGAGGAAAAAATGATTGGAGCTACCACACTGAGAGTCCCTATCCCAGCATAAATAAATAACATCTCATGATAACTTTTTTCTTTGAAATTATGAAGATTTCAAGAGAGAGTAAGAATAATCTCTTAAAAGCTAATTTTGGGACTCAGGTCCAATGGCTGCAAACGAAGGCAATGATGCTTCAATGAAAACCAAAAGCCTGTGGAGCATGGGGCATGCTGGTAAGTTGATTTTTTTTTTTTTAATCAAATGACTAGCTTAACCAAGGCAGCTTTTCTTCTCAGCCTCCTTTATCAATGATTCATTTATTCAATATTTAAGTGTCAGCATTCCCCAGGAATCAGTCTTTTCCTCTTTACCTTCACACTCAGTACTCTCTCACTAGCTCTTATCTGTGCCCATGGCTTTAATTACTATCTATGCTCAGTAGTTTCAGATGCATACACACAGCCCAAATCTCTTTGGAGCTCAAGAAACGCATACATAAGTGCTTATCTCAACATCTTCGTTGTGTAACAGAGGTACTTGTAGCTTAGTATACTTTTTAAAAAGATCATGCTATTTCTCTCTCAGAGGTGATCTGTGTTTTGTGTTCCTTAGCTCAGGCAAATAGCCTCATCATCTATCCATTTAGGCAGGCCAGAAACCTGGGAGTCACTGCTGTCGCTTCCCTCTCCCTTACCACACCAGAATCCTGGCATTGTTAACTATTTTCAGTTTTGCCTCCTCAATGTTCATTAAAGCCATACTCTTCTCCCCAGCTCCACTGCCACTATCCTAGTGCATATTATCATTATTTCTCACCTGGGCTCTTTCAATATCCTTCTACTAGGCTTTCAAGCATCCATTCTTTCCCTCTTCTGATCCTTCTTTCCACAAGAACCAGAGCAGTCAATATGAAATATAAATCTGAATATGTCACCTCACTCTATCCCCTACCCAACACAAGACACACACACACACACACACACACACACACACACACACACACATACACACATACCTATAAAAGNCTCTCAAAGTTGAAGCAACTGGTCCATAGCCAAGTGGTAGAGCCAGTATTAGAACTCCAGCTTCTGAGGGCCAGGGCTGTGCTCCCCACACAAGATGTGAACCACATGTATCTTCACATTGTCGGCTGATTCTTTCAAGTTGCTGAGTTCTTCCTTTGGAAAATGCAGAAGGAAATTAATAATGAGGATTCTTTTCCTAGCTGCTGCCACATTTTGTGCTTATCTCCCTTTTACTCCAATAGTTCTTGTTTGGCAAAAAAAAGTAAGAGAGCTCTTCATTTTTGTTACTTAAAAGGCTAAAGAAGATGTTCTTCAATTTTGTTTAGTACAGAGAATTTAGATCTATACACTAATTCATACACATAAAAAGACTAACTGTGATTTCCCCCTTATTTGGAAATAGGGGGAAATTGTCTTATGGGTGTTTCTTGTGTGTATTTCCTTGGTATTGATGTGCAGTCTTATAGAACTAGCACCCACAACTCCTCTGTGTTTCCCCTTTCAGCCTCTGTCCATAAATCCTTTTAAAATATTTTAATTGTGCCTTGCCCAAAAATGTTTGGAAATGAATGTGCAGATGCATATGTTTTTAACAAAGTATATTGCATCTTCAAGGTAAACATCAGAGCAAATATTTTGTGCTTTGATCTTTATGTATCTCAGATGTTGGCTTGCAGATATGTTCCCTGAAAAACAGGCATGTTACACTTCATTTCTCATCCTTGGAATGCTACAGGTTGGCAGGCCAGAACTGTCTAGTTAAAAGAGGGCATGAGTCACAGATCTCTCAGTGCCATCAAACTGGGGCGTTGCATTATAACTCCCTACACACCAAATCCCATCGGTGCCCTTTGCCCAGTAGAAAAACAAAACCAAAAAAACATGTTAACTGTATTTCCAATTTTTGAAAACTTAGGGTCCTCCTGGTGAGCCTGGCCCCCCTGGCCCTCCAGGTCCCCCTGGACACCTTACAGCTGCTCTTGGAGATATCATGGGACACTATGATGAGAGCATGTCAGATCCACTTCCAGAGTTTACTGAAGACCAGGCGGCCCCTGATGACAAAAACAAAACTGACCCTGGGGTCCATGCTACTCTGAAGTCACTCAGTAGTCAGATTGAAACCATGCGCAGCCCTGATGGCTCTAAAAAGCACCCAGCCCGGACTTGTGATGACTTAAAGCTTTGCTATTCTTCAAAGGAAAGCGGTGAGCAGACAGCTGTCCATTTAAGCAGCACTGATTGTTTTTTACTCTGTTTTTCTCAATTGCATCCCCAAAATATTTAGTGATAGACACCAAGAGATAAAACGGTAAACGTGTCACAGAATTTGAGGTTTAGTGGAGGGGACAGTCAATGGCATGAAAAATTATATGGTAAGATGATAAGTACTATAATAGAGGACATATCCTATTAACGATCCAATTTCATGGTGGGAGTTTCATTTCCATCCAGAAGCCTTCAAATATTGGTGATTTGGGGGTGATATAATGTAGAAACTATTTGCTTAAGCAAGGTTAACATTAATTTACCTACATGACTTATTTGGATTTAATATGATAACATACATTGTTGGGTCATCAAGAATAGAATAAAGTTTATTATATTTCTCAAATTTATTTGAATATAAAAAACCTTTCATGTAGTTTAATGTTCTACAAATATCACTTTAGGAATCTCTGCTGACAGGATTATGTTATAGTGATGTGCTAAAGTGTTTTGGAATTAAATTGTCTTTCTGTCCTAGTTGCATAAACCATGCCTGAAGTCTACATTCTTCTATCATTTTGATTAATAAGACCTGGAGAACAGGGATTCCAGGACATAGGAATGAGCTATGAAATGCTTAATAGCTTTAATTAACTGTGAAATGACATTGCCAGGAATAGCTAAAATTATCTTTGAAGGCCAAGCAATTTAATTCTCAACTCTATACATCCCACCACTGGGCCTTCATTTCTTTTAAAATCCAGGGTTTCATGTATATATTATAAATATGTTTTATATATATATATATATATATATATCACAAATATATACACACAGATATATGTGCAAATATATATTTGTTTGTGTATTTATTTGACTATATGTCCAGCAACAAGTATTAAGTTGGTATGGCCTGTTTCAAGAATCTTATATATAAGATCAATTTTAAATATGGCCAGTGAGATTATTCATAGCCTTCTAATTGTAGTTCAACTCATATACATACTTCATTCATAGTTTTGACAATACATTATTTTATTACACTCCAATTATAATTTGCTTTAAAATATTGGCTTTAAAAATTAAATAAGAACTCATCCATTTTGACAAAGCCACTTAATCACTGTAGATGATCTCTCTTTGGTATAATTTTCTCAACTGTAAAATGAAGATGATACTTCCTTAATATGCGTGTTTTGAGCCTTAAGTACATGGTTTGGCAAAGTGCCTTAGAACAGTGGTGGGCATGTAGAAAGGGCCAAATGCATAACAGTTACTTTCCCTTTTCTGCAGAATAATTCCTTAACTGGGATACTCTCTCTTAAAAGACCTTAAACCATGAGGTCAGCTTTTCAAATCCTTTGTTAATTATTTTAGAGACTCATCATCATGTTTGAAATTCACCTTATTTAGCAAATGTTTTTATTTTGGAATATAGGTGAGTACTGGATTGATCCTAACCAGGGATCTGTTGAAGACGCTATCAAAGTTTACTGCAACATGGAAACAGGAGAAACCTGTATTTCAGCAAACCCATCCAGTGTGCCACGTAAAACCTGGTGGGCCAGCAAGTCTCCTGACCATAAGCCTGTTTGGTATGGTCTTGATATGAATAGAGGCTCTCAGGTAATTGAATATACTCACTTAAAATTGTATTTTTTGCTTTTCATTATTTATTATGTTTTAGTATTTATGTAGGACTATGCTATTATTTCTTATGCTATTATTTTTTGACCAAGTTTATTTTATTGTGTTTATTTTAAAGTCGTATGCTCTCATTAGTTGCAATGTCATTGCATAAACAAAGTTTTACTGTAAATTAAATTAACATAAATTTTGAATTATAATTTTTCCATTGATGGAATGTAGAAAAGTTTATTTTTAAGACTAGTTTCTTTAATACATGTCACACTGACTGTGGAATATACTTGAAGGGATCTTGCCACAGTTGAAAGACAGAGGTTGTATTTAGCATCAGGAGACCTAGTGACTTGTATCTGGATCTCTAACTGACTTTTGGAACTTAGGAAGTCACTTAACCTTTCGGAGCCTCAGTTTTTTTCATTTTAAAGTGAAGGTGATAATATTTTTCTCACAGTCTCTGTGTGAATATAAAGTGCTTACCATTGTATCTAGTATATGGTAAGTTATAAGTAATATTAGATAATTAATATAGTATTTATATATTGAATCACTTTGTAAACTTTGTAGTATTATTTAAACTTAATGCATTTTTATAATTATATGAATTCTATTAGTATTTTTCTGAATCCAGTCTCTTCTATGTTTCTTTTATGGCCCAGTATTTAGGTTCTCAACCAGCCTTGCGACTTCCTATTTCAATATGAGTATTTTACTCTGGATCTCTTTATGGCAGCCTAACTCTGAAATTTTCTTCTCACCTGTGCTCCTGATCTTTCCTCAGAACTCATGTACATAATAAACATGATGTGAGGACATTTTGGGTGTGTGCAAGATATATTGGAATCTACCATTATTTAATAAGCAGAAAAATTTTAAATTTAAATATACCCACTTGAAATGTAATTTAGTTAATATAATATTATGTTAAAAGCTCAAGAAAAAAAAAAGGAATTGAAAATAAAGCCCAAAGTTAGAAGATGAGTGGGAAAGAACCTCTAGGAAATTATTTTTGATTGTTTTTGTTAGCTAATCAAAAAATATATAATTCAGATTTCCTACAAGGATATAGCAGTTGGGCTAAAAGAGATTTTATGTAAATAGTTAAGTTCTGATTCTTATAATTAACAATAAAAACAATGAGTTATTTTTGATACATGATTAAATATCCAAGCCATTGCTTAAGTATATAACTTCTAAAAAGTAACATTAAAGATTTTTAAAGAAATGGAGAAGCATATTTAAAATTACTTAAACTTTCTCTGGTGAGTTGTAATTATCATTGGTTTCTTTACCTTTTGTTTGAAGTAGTAAGGACAGAGGTTTTTATTTGTGAATATTCATAAAAATTTTAAGATATTTTTATATGTATAGGCAGAATATCTTATATCTTTTATATGTATAAGTAGAAAAGTGATACTCTTCAAAATTGATTTGTCTGAAATCAATGCATACATACAAAGCACTGTGAAACCCTTCAGTTTTGTGTATAACAAAGACTTTCTGTTTTTCCAGTTTGCTTATGGAGACCACCAGTCACCTAATGCTGCCATTACTCAAATGACCTTCTTGCGCCTTTTATCAAAAGAAGCCTCCCAGAACATTACTTACATCTGTAAAAACAGTGTAGGATACATGGATGATCAAGCTAAGAACCTCAAGAAAGCTGTGGTTCTCAAAGGGTCAAATGACTTAGAAATCAAAGCAGAGGGAAATGTTAGATTCAGATACATAGTTCTTCAAGATACTTGCTCTGTGAGTACTTTTGATCATATTGACCTAATTAAAGAAAAAAAATTGTTAAAAATACTATTACGCCACTAGAGGTGGGGACAATTTTACCCAGTATTTAGACACTACAGTTTGTCCATAGTTGTTCTTTAGGGTAAACTTGAATGTGTGTTAGTATATGAAGCACAGTAGAGTTTTTAATACAAAACGAATAAGAAAGGACTGGATGTTTGGAATCCAATCCAGCTCTTCTGCAAATTAACTTTGGCTCTCCTGCATGTTACTTAATTTATTTAATCTCATTTTCATGCTTAAAGTTCCTTGATTCTAAAATGTATAATCAATCTGAGATACCTTATATTTTTCATTGATTTGTATGTCTCCCCCCTTGCATATCTAGACATAAAAAGGAAAATATTTAATGATGAATTACAGTTTCATTTGTGAAAAGCAAAAACGCTTTCATAATTTATGTTGTCAGTGCCCATTTGGGAAGTTGCAAAAGAACAAAGGGCATTTCTTCAATTTACAGCTTGAAAGAAATGCATGCCAGTCATGCTAGGACCTCACTTGGTTAGCTGTGCTCTTAAGTGGTGCTCTAAAAATCATTGCTTTTACATTACAAAAATTGGCTTAGACATTGCTGTCTAACATCTTTGGAATAATATAGTATTAACCCATTGCACAATTTCATTCCAGAAGCGAAATGGAAATGTGGGCAAGACCATCTTTGAATATAGAACACAGAATGTGGCACGCTTGCCCATCATAGATCTTGCCCCTGTGGATGTTGGCAGCACAGACCAAGAGTTTGGCATTGAGATTGGGCCAGTTTGTTTTGTGTAAAGCAAGCCAAGATACATCGACAATGAGCAACACCCTCACCATCAATGACCACCACCGTTCACAAGAACTTTGACTGTTTGAAGCTGATCCTGAGACTCTTGAAGTAATGGCTGATTCTAAATCAGCATTGTATATATGGTCTTAAGTGCCTGGCCTCCTTATCCTTCAGAATATTTATTTTACTTACGATCCTCAAGTTTCGATTGATTTAAAATATTTTTCAATTTAGCAGTTTAGGTTTAAGATGACCAATGACAATCACCACCTTTAAAAAAAAGGTAACTGGTTGAAATAAATACTTTTTCGTTTCTTTCATTTATTTCAATGGAAAGAAAAAATTTCTTAGGATTTTTTGAAAAAATTTTTCTTCCTGGCAGGTAGCTTAAAGAGTGGGGAATGTAAATCCACACCACATGTTTATTTCACTTGGCTGCAATTTGGGAAATAGAAAGTAGTGCCTTTTTGTGACTTCTCATCCCCAGATTATCAATTAAAAATGAAATCAAAGTCTTTATCATTGTGATTGAAACCCTCATGCATGTCTTGATATTGTATAACTGTCATGGAGACTCTTTAAAGAGAATCTTGAAAAAAATAGTTTCTCACTGTCTTAAATGGAATTTTTAAATAATATATATTCAGTGGAATTTCTTGAAAACAAAGTGATCCTAGATTTTTATAATGGATGTTAAGTTTAGACTTTTTTCTCATTGAAATTTAAAGGTACCTTTTCCTTTTGACTCAGTTTGTCAATATAGATAGAAGTTACATGATTATGCCATTGAATACATTTGCACTTTCTTGTTTAAGAAGACATTAAATGCTAAAAAAATTACACATACAACTTTATAAACATATGTCCAGGACCCAAAGCTGAGAGTCTTCCACATGTACAATCTCATCATCCTGAAGTCTATAATGCAGAAAAAGATTTAGAAACTCAGAGCTGTGGAACTGACTCTACTCGAATGTGATGATTGGAAATAGGACATTTGGCCTTTGACTCTCATAGGAAACATGACCCAACATTTCTTAGCATGAGCTACCTCATCTCGAGAAGCTGGGATGGACTTATTATTCTTGTTTATATTTTAGATACTAAAAGGTGCTATGCTTCTGTTATTATTCCAAGACTGGAGATAGGCAGGGCTAAAATGTATTATTATTTTTCTTTTAATGATGGTGCTAAAATTCCTTCTATAAAATTCTTTAAAAATAAAGATGGTTTCATCAATACCATTTGTGAAAGCATAACTGTTAGACTTGCCCGTTTCTGAAAGAAGGAGCATTGTTCCAGTGCCTTTTCCACTGTTCATCTGTCATACCATACCTGGAATGTTTTGTAATACCTGCACATTTCTTAGATAAGAACTTGTAGGTCCCCTTGTGTCAAAAGGTTGTTTTTTTTTTTTCCTTAATTGCTTTTGTTGGCCCCAGTTTTATTTTTTTCTTTAAAAATAAACAGCTGGGACCATCCCAAAGGACAAGCCATGCATACAACTTTAGTCATGTATCTCTGCAAAGCATCGAATTAAATGCACGCTTTTGTCATGTCAATGGTTTTTGTTTTGTGGAATTCCTTTGAACATTTTAGATCTATTTTGTTTCCAATAGTGAAAAGTAAGGTGTTGTATCATTTTGTTCTCTACTTGTTTAAAAGATAAAACAACAATTACCTTCCATTGTTTATATACTGGCTTATATATGAAAATCAATTTGCAACATGGCTCACAAAGGCAACGTGACACTAATTATCACTGTCTATGCTCTTAAAAAACTCAGGGTAGGGCCGGCCGAGTGGCTCAGTTGGTTAAGAGCTCCCTCAAGAGTTTGAGCTCTGAGCAACAGCGGTTCGAGTCCAGCCCGAGCTGAGCAGCTGCTGAGCTGCCAACAGGTAGCAGGATGGCTC